ATTTTACATTGTTGTTGTAATGATAAACAGTAAATATGTTGGATTTAAATGTCTAATTAAAAATTTTTATTGTCACCTCTTTTTTTTTTGGTTATAAACTATGTTCATTTGTGAAAAACGTATTTGATGGTTTGGTGAACTATTGTGATTAAATGCTATACTGTAATAAAGTTTCTCATTTGTCAACAAAATTTAATAAATATGTTTGAAAGTGACATGACTTTAGTCTTATACATTTCATTACAAACTAAAAATATATTTTACCAAAATGGTGTATGTCTGTGTGTTAAAAATTTTCTAATTCCAGATATTTCAATATTATTGACCTTTTATTCTGCCAGTTTTAACCAGACTGGTTATTGACCACGTGACGACCTATCCTGTCCTCTGTATTTCCTAAAATCAAAGTTTATCGAGCCTGTCCGCATACTTGAAGTTGTAGTCTTAGATGAATATGTCAACTGGGATGTGTCAGCAGTGGGATTGAAAAAGTAACCTGTCTGCTATTTAATATTCGTTTTTCTAAATGGTAAGAATATGACCTATACATAAAGTTTCAAACCTGCAAGAAAGAAGCTGTAGACAAAGATTTGTGAAAATATCTACAGAAAGGTAAGAATAGTAATAGTTAATCATAACTATTTACATAGATTCTTTAAACTTTAGTGGAATAAATCAACTTATAAAGGTAAATATGAAGTTGTTTTACATTATTTAGAGATTTAAATAAGCATCCTTTTGAGGGCGAATAGATGTTGTACAATATATTAATTATAGAAATGAATAAGCAATAAATGTTTTATGTGTAAAGCATCAGGAAATGCAAAAAGTATGTCATGTGAATTAAATATAGGAGCGAGAACTATAATCAGAAGGTTAACTCTGTACTAAATTGATACTTAAAAACACAATCAGTTGTACTAACTGCCTCATTCAATATTCATAAAAATGATACATTTTGTATGATAAAATCCTTTCATGACAGATAATTCTAAAATAATATAAAGTAAATTATTGGCTATGCTATCAAATAATGGATAAATTAAGATGGTTTTCATCACACATACTAATATATATATATAACAGTATTATAAAGTTGTCTCATTAAAACAATGGTTTTACTTGTAGCTTTTTAGGATATATAATCTAGACTATGTAATCACATGTTGAGACACCCTACGATGAGCTCATCATCCTATTGAACATTTATAGTCTGTTTATAGAAATACTATCCACCCTAGCAGCATTAACCTTAGTAACACAATTTGCCAAGTAATACCATCTACCTATAGAGAGCTTCAGCACCACAATCCACCTGGTAACAACATCTACCTTCCTATGTAAAACACATGTAATTCATTTACATATATTGTTGAAAAGTATTAACATAATTTGAGACAAGTTGAAATCTGTGTGCAATCCTACAGAAGTTTAGTAATACTGTCTGCCTATAGAAACACCACCTGCCTTTGTAAAACACATATAATAAAGTTAAATATATATAACAAAAACTATAAACATAAGTTGAGACAAGTTGAAATCCGTATGCAATGCTATGGAAATATAGTAACACTGTCTGCTTATAGAACCTTAGTAACACTCTCTGCCTTCGTAAAAAACACACACAAATGCCTAGTATGACCATCCACTTATGGAATCTTAGTAAGAAAATCTGCCTAGTACACCATCTGTTTATAAAAACACTACACTATCTATACAACCTTAGTAACACCGTCCGCCTACAGTAACAGATCCCCTGGCATCAAACTCCCCTAATAAAGTAGTGTCCTCTAATACCACTTCGTGGAACTATGACTCCTAAGAATACACACTCTGTTTTGAGTAACAATTGAACTATGATGTCACGTAACACCTCCTAGCAATGAACTCTCTGGTAGCAGGAACATCCCGTCATCAAGTGTTATGGGTAGGAAGTACAGTAACATTGTCCGCCTTTGTAAAACACACATAATATGACTAGTAAGACCATCCGCCTAGTAACACCATTTGTGTATACAAACCATACTCTTATTAACACTATCCGACTATAGAACCTTAGTAAAACCGTCCGCCTATAGAACCTTGGTAACAACATCCTGGTATAGTATCACTATCTACTTTTGTAAAACAAACATAATGTAATTAAACATATAAACAAATGCTATACTACTGATAAGAACCAAATTCAAATAGCAGATTTAATGTAAGTTTTACTTATAAAGCAAAACTGTAATTGTGATAAAAACGTTTCAGTACTGATAATTGTAAAAGAGCATTATGGAAATTAGATAAAATATTAATTTAAAACTTTGATTGTTACTATAAAGATGATGACATGTTTATCTATATCACCCTCTGGTGGTTCGCTAGCAAACTATCTGTGTGCTCATGACACCAACGCTGCCTCTGGTTCCATTTCGTAGAACTATGACCTTAGCAACTAGTCCTCTGGTTCCACTTCCCGGAGCAATGACGTATATATTATGTAATAGTTACGTAACACTCAGGTGTCGGCATAATTTGCATATTATGTAATCCCCAGGCGACATCCTTTGATTTATACTCACCTGGCAACCCTCCACTGAAGCGCCATCCTTTGGGCGCTGGGTATCCCAATAACTACTAGTATTATTCATTAATATACAGAGAAAGAAATTGAAATTTCTGACCCAAATACAGACGAATGGGGTCAAGAGAAATAAAATGGCGGATGTTTGTATTTTGTCGAGAGAGGATGCTGCTGCGTACAAATGATATTTTTGCACATGAAAATATAAAAATTAGTTTAGATGTTTGATTACTCTAACAAGGAAGGAATTGCAAGTAGATTATGTTTTTATTTGAATATTTCGACTTTTTACGGACTTAACTCTGGAAAACAGAAACAAAAAATGAAATATGATACAGGAAAAGTAAAAAACACCTTAATTTCCTCGTCATCTATCATAGTACCAAATACTCAGTTTTGAGATTTCAAACTAGGTGTTAACCAAAAAAAAAACATTTTAATACAGTATTTGATAACATATTTAACTAACTAAGCAATACAAGTTTAGGGATAATTCAAATTCAGCTATAAATAGTCAAGAGGCCTATGTGGGTTTAATGAAGGGAAACGATACAGTACTGTGAATATAATATACAAAGCTGGACTATTTTTTTTATTATTAGGGAAAAGAATAATATTTTTGATATCTTAGACATAAAGAAGATCAGTAGGTGGAACTGTATTAAGTATACATAATCTTAAATACATTAAAAACCTAATGATAGAAAAAACAAAAACAAAGCGCAATAATCATACGATCATTTCAAAGTTATCTTTATGATCTCATTGCAGAACCTTTTTATCCAAAGACCAAAGGCAGCAGTTATCCAGGTACACAGAGGTAGGCATGAGAGGAACGTGTTTGGTTTATTTAATTTAAACATAAGCCAGTTTTTCTTTTAGAAAGTATTTTTACTTTTTTATTTCCTTGTTTATTACCACTAATAAATTTAGTTTATCAAATTGTATGGTGTTTTTCAAAGTAAGGGGTGCTCATGGTTTATATTTCGCTCTCAGGGCCCACCAGAGCCTCAACTCGGCACTGCCTTAGTGGTATCTCCAGATCGAACGTAATTCATTCGATGTATTATATAACACGTAACAAGTATCAATCAAAGCCATATAAATAAAAAAAAACGTATTAAATATTTGAAACACAACTCTTATATAGTTTTGCTTTATTATGCTGACATTTGAACCCTGTATTTCAACATCTTTTGAACTTGTATTGTTTAGACATTTTGAAAGGTCATGAAGTACTGTATGAAGACGTTTTTTCTCTTAAAAACTAGTTCGAACAATGAAAACTGTGGATTTAATTAAAAATTTCAAATTAGAATTAAGAATATTATATTATCTTAAGTTAATCACAAGTTTGCAGCTGTTTTCCGTTTACCTGTGGGTCTCGAGTTCGAATCATATCGCCGAAGATGCTCACCCTTTGAGCCGAGAGGATGTTATAATGTGACTGTCAATCCCACTATTTGCTTAAAGTAGCCCAAGTGTTGGCGGTAGGTGGTGCTGACTAGACACTTTCACTCTAGTCTATTATTTCTAAATTTGGGATTACTAACGCTTATAGCCCACAAATAGCTTTGCGCGCAATTCAGCAAACAAACAAATTATCTTTTCCTGATCGACTAATTAATTGTGTTATAGTTAATAACAACAGCCTTATAATTGGTTTAGTTCGTTCCCAGTGTTTGTTTACGGACTTATAACGCTAAACTCTGGGGTTCTATTCCTCACAGTGGACAGATCGCATTAACCCATTGTATAGCTGCGCGATAAAGCAGTAACAATTGTATCAGTTTATTCTTTGGAAGTGAGACTTACGTCTTTGAGCTATCATTAAAATGATTTTCCAAGTTTATATTTTTCAGCTCATTTTGTGGCATTCAAACGTAAGCTTAGAGTCTCGTACTATTACACTTGTCATTTTAACTAAATATTACTTAGTGGATTTTGCTGAGGTCTTGTTCATGCTGCAAATAAAAGCTTATATTTTTTAAATCTATCTTATTTCATAAAAGTAAGGTAAAGCAAACGTTAGAGTGAACCTAATTCTCAAGATCCTTATATTTGTGTGATATTGATGAATTAATTATATTTTATCTTGATTTCTACAAGGAAGATATTAAAATATTTTTTTAAATATAACTTAAAATATACAGCAAATAATAGATTTGTTTTTAAATAGAACAAAAATACGAGTTTTTGAGCAAGCTTATAATTATTTTGGGATGAGATTTAAACCAATCAAGTGACTTTTGACTTTTTTTTCTTCACATCTTTCCAAAAGAGTATTTTCATCATTTTAACTTCATATCTCATGTCTAGTGGTATAGGTTGTAGACTCTATTTGATAAAAAGTTGAAATATATACATATATAATTAGTAAGCTGTTAGGGTAATGGATTCTTTAGAGTACAGAACAGTTTTTCACACTCACCTGCAGGGACTATAGTAAAGACACAAGGGATGATCTGAATGCCAATATTGTTTGTCCCCCAACAGAATAGGTTCCCAAAATCCTCCCCTGACTGGGGTATGTAGGTTGCAATACTCTCTATCTGATCGCTGGTGTATTGTATTGCGTCTGAATGTTTCGTAGTGGTGTTAAACCTCCAGTGAAAAGTTACATCTGACGGGTCAGCATCTAGCCGACACACAACTTCAACTGCCTCGTTTATCGCCACGCCGTATGTAGTTTTTTGATTAAGATCACACCGAGGGACATCTTTGAGGAAAATAAACAGAAAAGAGTTTGAACTTCTGTGAGCAAAACTTGAAAAATGATGAACAGCAACGACAACATAGAATTATTGGTTTGTCGTAAGAAAACACTAAAATCTCTATGTGCCTAACTGTGGTTTTGCGTGATGTTTTTGTACTTTTAAGACATATATTTTCTAAAAGATGAAAAATAGAACGTTTGACGAACTTTGTATTTTCAACATTAACTTGCTTTACATTTTTCAAATGTAGGAAGACTCATGTCAGTATTGAGTTGTTACAAATGCACGCAATGCTTCATGCAAACGAAGAACTAACAAAAACAGATCAACTTTTAATAGAACTATTTTTTTTATGTTATTTAAACAAGCAAGAAATAAGAATTACCGAACATATTTTTGTGTAATTTTGTTGTTTAAATCATAAATCCAATTCACTATTTCTTTAAAAAGCAGAATCAATATACACCATTACAATAATGAGATTTCTTGCATACAATCAAGATACCAAAATAATGTAATTGAATAGAATCATTTGTTAAAAAGTCCGACGTTAGTATGATGTTACGGAAGTGCTACTGAACTCGTAGACAATATGCGCGTGTTTTGCATTGTTAGCTCTGGAAAGCAATATCGTACGCAGCTTTTAAAGAAAATATAGTAATTTATCTCTGTTGTTTCTTTCATAAAAAGGCCGAACAATTTATTTTTTAAAGAAATTAATTCCTGTAAATTTAGCATGTGATTGATTTTTTTATGCATGTATTATTTTCTGAAATAATAAGAATACGCTAGCAAGATATTTTCATATCTTATTGAAGAAAAAATATTTCAACGGTTTCCTTGATATTTTTCATAAATGAAAAATGTTTGGAGCGAAATTTACATGTTCTGACATGTTGTAATAACGCTTCCCATTACGTTATCCTACTGACTTTCATTTTGCTGATGAAGATGTTATTATTATTATTTTATTTTATAATGTAGTTCATTTCATATGAGCTTTTTCTATGAACTCTGGGGTTAAGAACACCATAATGAAGATATATTCGTCAAATATTCGTAATAGACTACCACATCAGCACCAAATACTAAATTGAAGGTTAATTTCCAATTATGTACAAGGAAGAAAAAGGTAGGCAAGTGAATAGACACTGTCGATTGAGGCAAACCTTGCCTTGAGAAATGAGGTATGTTAATATGCTGGTTTTATTATAAACAAATCTCGTTTTAGTTAAAACATAACAGTTCTTTTTTTCTTTCTACGATTAAAAGCAAGACAGGGTTAAAATTGATTTTAAAAACATTATAAGTTGCGAAATTTGCTAAAGCCTAACATTACCGAGATGTTACAAGGTCGGACGCAACCAGATTAGAATTGCATTGATGATCGATTGAACAAATAACTTTTATAAGTTACTCGTACCATCGTACGTACTGTACCTTGCTGTTGAGCTTTCCAGAGATTTTGTATTTAGCTATATAACTCTGATAGGATCAGTTAAGTCGGCATATTCTGCCAAGAAATTTGCACTTCATTCGCTCGTGCTGAAATTTGTTCAATATAATTATAACATATTGAGCCACCAGTCTTAAAAGTATTAGTAAATAAATGTACGCGAGGTTACATATACGCGGCAATAAGATGAGCCTTTATCACGTATTTTGTGTAAAATACTGCTTATAAACTTGTTTTAAGACATTCTTCTCCTTGTACTAATCCTGACTAGCTTCTCCAAGGCTTGTAGAATGTAATTACTATATTACATTTTCACTGGTTGTCTATCAGTAACTTCATCATACACTACATTAAATTTGAGTAAATCCGTGGTTTATGTGTAGAATGAACGTAATGAATGTTAGTAAAACACACACATACATGCATACATATATATATATATACATATATAAACAGCTTCTGTATAACGTTTGTTATAATATATTTTATGTTAATATGTTATGAGGTTCACATTACACACGTTAAGTAGCCTTCTATTCTAATATTGGCAAACTGGTATCACAAGAATAAAAAAATGATATCATACACTAACGTACACTTAACCTTCAGAAAGATCTCATTGCTGACACCTAGACCTTCTACGTTCTGTGCAGAGCAGGAGTAACGCCCTCTAAATTCACGTTGTACGTGATGTATGGCGAGAGTTTGGTTGGTGATGATGATACCTATAGAGTTGTTGGATGTCAGAGAACGTCCTTCGAAGTGCCAAAACACTTGAGAAACCCAAGGGTTTGCTCGAATGTGACATTCAAAATAAACATCGTCACCTTCCTTAACTTTTTCTGCTTTTCTGCTGGCTCCCAATTCAAGTGAGATTTGAGGTTTATCTGAACAGAATATTTAAATTATTATTTAGATAGTCGATTACCGCGCATTAATAATGTATAATTTAACTACTACTTTAATAACAGATAAATAACTTACTACTATAATTTGCAAAATGTAAAAAATATCATATCGTAAACTTACTATAAAAATGACAAAAAATATACTGCTTGCTATTTCATAACTACATTTTTTTACTGTCGATTTATAAGCGATTCATACTTTTATGTTGAAAATAAGTTACTGTTTTCATTTTATTCATTACTGAGCCCAAATTATCATATACACTCAGTATAAAATTATAGTTGTACTTGGAGATACTCAAATCTTTTACTGGTAAATAATGAAACAAGCTAGTCTGTATATAACACATTCTAATTTCTCTTGACTAAACAATAAACATTTATACACACACAACTGAAATTATGCGAGTACTTTATAGAATTATTAAAATTCAATCTTAAGAAATCCAATATATGCAGTAATGTAATGCATGCATAGCAAATAAAAGAGAGCTTGTTATGAACATAAAACTAAACATTTTTAAAAATATAATAACAATGATATTTTGAAACAATGAACTTCGTTTACCTATAAAATGATAAAAAACCTATAACCCGAGCGCTTTCGATAGGTGGATCTTTCTTCTTCAGGGATAAACTACTATAACACTTCTTATTTTTACCAAAAGAAACCTTATTAAGACTTTATCAATATTTTTTGTCTCCAATTCCTTGAATACATTAGCAAATCACCCTGTTAAAAATAAAACTGTCTTAACCGAAGCGTAACCCGTATTTTTCAAATCTTAAACTTGTCTCCTTTTGCCCATCGTTTTCAAAATACAGTACAAGGAAATAAGTGGCTTTTATCCTTTCGATCTCCTGACTAGCTTTTTAAATTTCAATAGTAAATAAGTTGAGAGATCTTAACCTCTTTCTATAACATAACAAATCCTTCCATCCTCAGAATAATCCTAATAGCCCTCCTCTTAACCCTTTGCTATAAAACAATATCCTTTCTTATTTTTTTTTAGAAACACAACTGTACACACTATTCCAAGTGAAACCTTACAAGTAACTTATGTAGAGAATTTACACAGGTCAACACTGCAAGTTACATACGCCAGGTGGCAGCACTGTTAGACATTTTCAAAATAATGACCATCATAGAGAAAGCGAATATTTATTGCTTTATGGAATGTTTTGTAACATGACACAGTTTTATTGATTGTTAAAACATATTCAGCTATATCAGTTCATCGAACAATAAATTAGGCTGTTACACGCCTTTACGTGCCACATTTAATCGTGTTAAGTATAGTAACATATGTATTACAACATAATCAACTACTATAAAATATACACAGCTTTCAACTGTGAACGTAACAGCATTTCATAGATATCCCTGTTATATCTTAAAATAATCTTGCTTAGAAATGTTTGGAAATAAAGCAGTAAAGCATGGTATTACTTGACAATTCGTTATCCATCATTTGAAGGTGGTTTCGCTTTTTTTACTGTAGGCAGATGTACAAGCTGTGTTGAAACAACTATCAGAAAAAGGGTGATGTTGATGTAATAGAAAATTCTAACACAATACCTCTTTGAAATGTATTTACATAGCACAAAGCTTGCATTTTCTTTTTATTTGTGTGTACTTTTTTTTAAAGACTTGTTATCAAAATAAAAGATCCACAAAATCCAAATTTGTTAAACTTCCTTTTATGTGAAACGAGGTTGGATAGTTTGTATAGAACAAATTATATTTTCTTTGCTGGAGGACTGATGCGCAATCTTTACAAATTTATAAAGCACTTATGCACCAGAAGGTGTTTAAAGAAAAAGAGAAAAATATAGATCCCTTTTTTTTGAGGATGGAAAAATAAATAAAACCATAAGAAGAAAAGTTGAAAGCGAAAGATATCATAGAGACTAATTGAGTGAAACATTATATATATGTATATTAATGTGTATGTGTAATTTTCCCATTAGATGTTACAAATACAACAGATATATATATATATATATATATATGTTAAACAATAGTTGTGTGTGCTTGTATGCATACTTTAATTTGTAAATTAGATAAATTTGTTTGTTTGTTTATAGTTAAGCACAAAGCTACACGAAGGGTTATCTGTGCCCTGCCCACCACGGGTATCGATAGCCGGTTTCTAGAGTTGTAAGTGCTCGGGCATACCGCTGTGTCACTGGGTGCAATTATATAAATGATATATATATATATATATATATGCATACTTACACATATACACACACACATATATATATATATATGCATATGATTTAAATGAACAAAAACAAGCTCAAACAAAAATTAAATTAAAGACGCTGCATAAATTAAAAGGATTCCCAGGGTACAGACTATAATGTGGGATATAAAATGTGCCTTAGGTTTTGGAGGTGACTGCGGAAGTAGGACCTACATTGCGGTTGGGATACATCTTCTATCAGTCTTAAACTCCGTTCACCAGTCTCACATGAAGAAATTCATAAAAATAAAATATATATGCATGCATGTATCTATACCGCAGTCATAAACTCATAAACTGCACAAACTCGAGAAACCTTACATGGAAAACCCCAATTACATGTTTGTTGTAAGAAATAGAACACGAAAATTAAAGCATGATTTAGAAATGTGTTTCAACAAATTCAACATAACATGGTCCCCTAGTGGCACAACAGTATGTCTGCGGACATACAACGCTAGAAACCGGGTTTCGATACCCGTGGTGGGCAGAGCACAGATGGCCCATTGTGTAGCTTTGTGCTTAACTTCAAAGAAACAAACGAACAAACAACATAACATTTAAGAGATTACAAAAAAAAAACACTTTAAGTACAGATGAAAATATACAGGTCCTCGAAGATAGGAAATTAGTTTACCCAAAGATTTGAGTAAATTAAAGGTCATCTAAAGAAAAGAAATACAAGGATTTATATACGATTCTATACACGTTCTGATATTTTAAAAATGAAACTCTTCGGGAGCCATTACTTTTTCTTCTTTTGTTTTGAGCGTGGGAAACCGGGCTTCATATTTGGTGATCCAATCGAAGTTCTGGTGGTTTGAGTTTTCTTATAGTTCGGCTACTTTTACTACGTAAAAATATGAGCTTTTTAAAAACCTCAGTGGATTTATTTATGGTAAAGATATTGTTGGTTACTTTTAAAGGTAAAGTCTTATAGGTTTTTTTAGCATTTTCTAAATAAATAAATAAATCCATTTAAAGTAAGAGGATAATATTATTGCTATAATTCAATTGAAAGAAAGTACACTTGAAAACGACGTAAAACTTTAGATATCTAACGTGAATTCGTGTTCTGTTGCTGCAAAAAATGCGCTCTGCACTTTGAGGCCGTGAGTGCGTTATAAAGTGACTGTCAAATCCCTCTATTTGATTAGAATAACACAAGCATTGCCAGTGGGTGCTGTAGACTAGCTTATCTTCCTTCCAGTCTATTGGTTCAAAATTAGGGACAGCTAGTGCAGGTAACCCTTGTGTAGTTTAGTGGCGATTATACGAAAGAAAAAAAACAAACAAACAGTGGTAGGGTTACACCATATAATACATTTAACCTTTACTTGCAGAGCTCATACGTCGAAGGAAGAAGAAGGAAAAAAGGACCGTCTGCAACCAATTATGAGGAAGTAGATGCTTCTAATAAAAGATAATTATAAAAGTAAAATTGAAAGAGTGTACTACTGTGAGACCAATTGGGGTCATAGGTAAGATATGTCTATTTAATATAATATTACAGTTCCCATGATAGTCACATACATTATGAAGAACATTATATAATAATACTTAAAATATCTAAGTTGAAATTTTCTGCTATTAAACAAATGAAAAATAGAATTACAAAAGTTTATCTACAAGTTAAAAAAAGAAATAATATACTCAACCAATCAACCATCCCGAACATTATACTGTTAAATATTGGGCTCAATTAGATGTATGATTTTAAATACCAACGCATTTTAGCTAATCTGCCTTTGCCAAATGCAAAAGATAAGCTGGGCTTGCGTAAAAGCAGGGATGATGTAACTAAAGTAACCAACATTTAAAAGAAAAATACTATAACTACTTCTGATACTTACAGATACAACTCTTCTAAGGCTATTACTTCCAAATTTCAATAACATTTTATAATAGTTATCATTAAATATTTTACAATCTTCAACTTACTGAAAGCTCTACGTTTATAAGAAAATATTCTACTTTATTACAAATTCTGCAGATCATCACATTTTTGAATAAAGATGAAGAGAAGTTACTATTAAATGAAGTTAGTCCATCAATTTGAAAAGAAAATTCTTGCCTTTTATAATTTTTTTCATTTCAGCTGCAACGTTTTTGTTTTTATATCTGGATCTAAGCAATGTGTTTGTGTATCAGATATCGCAGTATTCGGTTTTCATCCAACTTAACACAACATATTTTATAGTAACGTAATGCTTTAATTATTCAACCTAATTGAATAATTTATGTATCTGTAAAGTAAATAAATCTGAGTTTAAGGCATTTATTATATAAAAACTTCCATAAAAAGTTTAAAACATTAGAAGAAGAATTATTACACCTGTCGAGGTACCAAATAATTTGTTCAATGTATGAGTATGTATGAGTATTAACACTTTATGTTAATAATGCATTTGATTCTATCCAGAAGCTGAAAAGCGTTAATCAGTCTGCCCTTTTAGGTGTCACCAATTTATTTTATGAAATCTCTAAATATCGCTTTAGAATAATACATTATTCCTGTTAATCAACCAAGTAGTACTTTGTCGTGCCCTACTTCGTATTGAAATTATTTATCTTTCGCAATAGTAGTACTAATTTTAAATGTAGTGCTTTTAATTTTGAACAAAACTGAAAGACTAATGACGGGTAGAGATCAGGTACGTTGACAATAGTTCAGAAGATTCTTTCTTCAATAATATTTTTCCGAGACCCACAAAATTATCATCAAGATAA